TTATAATACTACCTCCGGTCCTAATTATAAGAGCCAGTTGACTAATTTGAGGAGATTAAAGAAGTAAGTTGAGTTAGTTGTTTGTCCTAAATAGGTGTTGTTTTTCCTAAAATATCCTTATTAATCAAGTATATTGACTAGAACTATCATTATTAGAAGGGCTACTTTGAAAAAAAATGTATAAATATGAGAGACAAAGTGGGTTGGGGTCTTATATTTAGGACCAAAATAAAAGTCAAACAGGGTCTTATATTAAAGACCGGAGGTAGTACCTCGTTTATAATGTGCAAAACAGGTCTTATAATTAGGACTGGAGGTAGTATATGTTTTGGATACGTACATTCCACTATAGTGACCCACAACAAAACCTTACATCTCTAATTTAATTATCAAGGACACAAAATTTTAATTTTAATTCTCAGCCAAAAAAATATTTAATTTTAATATTTCAAAATTTGTTCATATGTGTGTGCGTGTATTTGTGTGTCTGCATATGTAGGTTCTCCGGAGACCAGGGAGTGGAAAGAGCGCACAGTGCTCAAAGATAGCTTCAGGGTTTGGATATGCCCATCTCAGTGTTGGGGACCTTCTTCAAGCAGAAACTAACTCTAGAACTCAACATGCGTAAGTACTTATATAAAATTTTGTGTGTGTAAGTGTGTGTGGTTAAAAAAATATATTCAAATACCATGCATTGCATAAAATTGGATCAATAGATTACATATTGAGGGCATGTTTGTTTTTGTTTTTTGGTTCTGAGAAAAATTTTATAAAATTATTTTTAAAAATTTTTGAAAACAAAAAACAAAAAAATTTGTTTGGATAATTGTTCTAAAAAATTATATTTAAAAATAAATATATTGAGACTAAAGGGCGAAGCTTTAATGAGAACTAAAGTTCTCAAACAAAAACAAGTCATGGAGCAAAAAAGAAAGGCTTTCCCAATTTTCTAAAACAAAAAAAAAAATACAAAGAAAAAAATAGGAAAACAATTAGAAATTATTTTGGTCTTTTAGTCTTTTGAAAAGGTAGGTTTCTATTTTTTTGTTTTTGAAAAATCACTCAATTGAAAACAAATTATCAAACAAGTTTTTTTTAAAGCAAAAAAACTTTTCAAAATAAGAAAACAAACAGCTTTTAATTACTATGAATTTTATATTTTTATATTGATATATTAAATATATTTTTTATTACGCTTAATATATTTTTCATCTGTCTAGTCATTTATATTAAATTTCATGCGTTAATAATATTTTTGTCGAGATCAATGATTGAAGAGTGCAAGAAAAAAGGGAAGCCTGTTCCAAGTCAAATAATAGTAAGTGTCTTGACGAAGCAATAAAGATAAGTGAGACCAGCAAATTTCTTGCTGATGGATTCCCAAGAAGCCAAGAAAATGTTGAAGCAGCTGAGAATCTTGTGAGTCTCAAATACTTCAAAAATAATTATCCTCAATTAATTAATTAATTTTTAATATATTGTTTATGTATAGTGCTAGTGTGAGTGAATGATCAAGGACTGATTTTGAAAAGGAAATAATTATCCTAATTAATTAATTAATTAAATCATATTTAACAGGTGAAAATAGAGCCAGACTTGGTTTTATATTTTGATCGCAATGAATAAGAGTCCATGAGGCGCCTTTTAAAAAGAAATCAGGTTAGTTAATCACTCTTTCCGCTTGGTTCAGTCATTGATATTACTGATTGCTTAATTCAAATTTGATTATTGTCATATTCAAATATTCAATAAAATAGGCACTTTCAACATATTTCTCTTTATTATTAATAAATTTCGAATCTCAACATATTTTTTCTTATTATTAATAAATTTTGAATCTCTGACCATGTCTAATCAAAAGACATCAAATTCCTTTCATTCAGCTTAGACATTACTAGTAAGGTTAAGGAGCAATAACTATGAAATTTTTTCTCATAAGCGTTTGGCATCCTAAACTTTTTTAAAAAAGGAAAATACAAACAAGTTTCAAGAGATGGAAAAAGTTTCCCAAACCTTAAATGAGCCTAACATCCTTATGTGGGGTCCACAATTTTGTCGGCATTTTTGCACCTTTTGAAAACTTTAAGATGCCTTGTCTATGAAAGAAAATTTCATGGGTGATTTTGCCCATTAGCCATTGAATAAAGAGAGAATTACTATAAGGTTTCAATAAAAGAATTTAACTATTTTCAGTGACAAGTGAGCAATACACACATGTTGTTATTTGTTGCACTGTAACTTGTTATTACATGTTTTTCAATTACTATCAGACTTTTAAATAATTAAATTCCTTTCTTATGAATCTTGTGTAATAAACACTTGGCCTATTTAATGCCTCAGAGGATTTTACCTTTTTTTTCAAATTCCATGTGTATTTTGCTACTCTAAAAACTTAGGATAGTATTTTTACTCTTTAAACCTTGTTGGCAAGATAAATAAATTGAAATTTTTATGGCTTATGAATTGTAAAAAGTTCTATTAAATGGTAACATATAGATGATTGACACATTAGTACTAAGCTGAGCAATATATAGAATTATACGTATATTAAGTGTTTGATGTGTGTTTGAGAGTGGCATAAATTATGAGAAGTAATTTTGAAGTGAATGTTGAAGGGAAGAGTTGATGATAACATTGAGACCATCAAGAAGAGACTCAATGTTTATTATCATAGCACATTACGAGTGATTGATTATTACCTCTCAAAGGGAGTTCACAAGGTGTGTATATATACTATTGAATATTACAAAAAAAAACCGCTTTATTGATTCTTTTTTATATTATAAAAAGCAAAATGTTTGCACATTTCCAATTCTTAATTACTAAAAACTCCACAAAAGAAAAGAAAAGCAAAGTACAAATTACTAAAAACCGGATGGGTACTTAAATTAGTTGAGACAATAGTTAAAAAAACAATAGTGAATTGGAATCAACTGAATCATAATTAAAATATTTAGCTTGAAAAGAGTACTATTTAAAATAAAAAAGCATTAACTATTTAATGAAAAGCATTAACTAACAAGTATATGGAGCATTCATACATAATTCACACAGAACCTAGCAAACCAAAGGTACTGAAGGACAAATATGACAGATTGTTATTTTGTTTATTTTCTTAACTCAAAAACAGCATCATTTGAGACTCAGCACTATGGGAAAAAAATTATAAGAATCAACCTGGTTGACCTATTCAAAACTTTATTGGATGAGTTAAAATATTAGTTCGCCGATTTATTGGTCTCACCAAGCAATTCAAGTAGGATTTTAGTAGCATGAGAAAATCAAACTTCTTTATAGATGAAGGAAGATGCTTATGATATAATGTAACAAAGCATTTCCCTTCTTTATTGCAGGAAAAAATACACATTTTGTCAGTTAATTTTATATAAAATTTCATTTTGGTTTCTTAATTTTATGAAATATATATTTAGTTCTTTAACGTTAACAATACATTTAGTTTTAAATATTTATTTTTTATGCCAATTATTATTATTTTAAAAATTAAATTGAATATGTCATCATTTGAAAATATTTTATTAACATTTAAAAATTTAATGGATGCAATTTTTTTTTTTTGGTTAATGAAGCTAATGGTATTGATGCTAGAGAACTGAAAAAACACCACAAAATTTAGGGACCAAAATAAAATATTGTATGAAATTAAATGATAAAAAAAATTTGCTTATGCTTTTATTGTACTCCATCCGGTCCCAAATCACACTACAAAATTTCTTATATTTAGAATCGGAAGAGTATTAATAATTACTTAAGATTTATTCATTTTTCTTGTAGCCTTCTATGTTTCAAACATGCGATGAGGAATGGGCATTATATGTTGACACAGATTGAGGCTGGAAAGTCAGTGGAGGAAGTGTTTGAGGATGCCGAGGATGCTGTGTCGCACCTTTCGGAAAATCATGTGCAAGGGTCAAAGCAAAGTCCACCTGATTGACTAAAGTTTGGTAAAATTGATAAAAAAAAATCCCTATTTAAAAATTTAATTAGCTAAAAGACCTAAATTTGAGCACGTGCAAGTATGATCCGTGAGTGTAATATATCTTCTGCTATATGCAACATATCTTTCATTGTGTGCAAATAATTTTCGTATTGATAATTGTTGTATATTATTGATAATATGTTGCACACAGCAAAAAATATGTTATAATAACGGATCATAGTTGTACTTGCTCAAATTAAGACCCTTTTAAGTAATTAAATTTTTAACCAGGGATGTTTTTACTAGTTTTCTCTTAAAGTTTATCATTTTGTATGTTTATTAATTAATGACACTATCCTTTTGCTTTGTTTTAGTCAACCGTACTGAAGAAGCAGATCTCACGAGTATGAATGACTAAATGGCCAAGATTTTAAATGCAAATTCTTTCCCATTCTTTTTCCTATTTTTCATTTAAATATAATTACATATATTTTTCTGTGTATTCTTTAAAGTTTAATAGGATAAGTGTGTAATTTTATCCCTTATTTTATTTCTAAAGTGCACTCATGATTTCAATCTTTTTAGTGATGCAATTTAACCGATGATTTTTTTTTTGGGTACAATTTTACCTATGATCTTTTTATTTTAGTGTAATCTAATGTTTAGTAATAGGTAAGATGGCACCAAAATAAAACGATTATGGGTAATATTAAAGAAAGGGATAAAGCTCATTTTTGCCATGGAAGTTTCTACAAAGGAGCTCTGGTTGCCAGGAAGTTTTTTTAAGTGCAATGTAGCCCCGGAAGTTACAAAAAGGTAGCAATGTGGACCTATTTAGACGGAGGCGTCACAGTCGTTCGCCACGTAGGAATTTTTGCCACGCAAGGTCAGAAATGTGGTCCATAGTGGAATAGTGGTCCATGTCATAAATGGCAAAGGAAATGTTTTAAGCCCCCTCTGAGTTGCACTGTATCCATTAGGGTGAGTTTAAAATTCCCCTAGGCCAGTGGAGGAAATTGATGGAGGGTGTTAATGTGGTAGGGCACAGCATAGAAGACAGGAAATGGGAGATTCTTCTACATCATCGGTGAGTGGAGGGAGGCGTAGGGTTGCATTTTTGAGAGGACGAAGTCAAGATACTGAGAACGATAGACAAGCAAGGAATTGTCGTTGCGGCATGGTGGCTCCTCTTCGGACATCGTGGACAGAGATGAACCCAGGTAGGAGGTTCTATGGGTGTCCAAATTATCTGCAGGTTTGCTTTTGTTGTTGTTGATGCTATGTTATAAGTTGTGTAAAAGTGATATATAATGCGTTGTTTACAATGAACAGGGAGGGGGCTATGGATATTTTCATTGGCATGATGAGGAGATGGGAGAGAGGGCAATGGAGGTGATAAATGAGCTCATTGGGCATGTGGAAAGGCTTTATGAGGAAAATAGGAGACAGAGGAATAGAGATGATGAGACGAAAGCAATAGTTCGTGAGATGAAGAGAAATGAAAGGAGGCTGAAGGTTGTGATGGGTGCATTGGTGGCAACTTGGGTCTTCTTCATTATTAGCCATATATATAATTAAATGGTGGTGTGGGCGGGTTGAAGTTTTTTGTAATAGGAAAGTATTGTATGAAATGTTATTTGAATTAGTTGGAAATAGAAAAGTTCCGTATGATCCTTTTGGTGAATCAGTTGTTGTTATATTGCTAAACATTTGTGATATTTGTGATAGTAACAGGGGAAGGGGAAAATGACAGACCGATAACATTATATTGGTATCAGTGGTAAAGTACCTAATTAGATGCACAACTGAAAACAATAAATTGCCAAACATTGGCACACCATGGTAGTTGATGAAGTGGCCAAATAATAAATAAAAAAAGATGCCTGATAATTGATAGTAATAGAACATTACATAAGTTGTCTTGGTTACAAAACATGAAATGGTAGTTAAGTCTGGAAATGATCGATACATTACAATCCATTTCAACATTAAATATCCAAACAAAACGAGCTACATATAAAAAAGATTGTCCTTTTAGGATAAGAGTCTATATAAATACAGTTACAAAACCTCACTACCTTATAAACCACTCTTTGACAGTAAACATCAAGGCATCTAATGTCGTCCTCTTCTAGCTGTTGCCTTCTTTTTTCTACCTAAGGCAATGGGGTTAGTGTCCTTCTTGGATACGAGTGTGGAAGTTGTGATGGTTAGTTGTCCTTGCCACATGAGACCTGGAGGAGTGAAAGGCATATGAGAAGGAGTTGATGTAGTTCCTCCATCCCCTTTATATTGAATTTTGCAAGACCCCTCCTGTGTTGAAGTTTGACTCCTGGTAGTCCTGCGTATTTTCCTTTCGTTGGGTATAGGGAAGCGAGTCTCAACGTCTGCATGTTGCTCCATATACTCAGCAGTTGTGCCCTCATTAATGACAACCTCAAAAGGCATCCCAGGCTAACAACAATGCATTTGAAAACATTTAAAAATGAAGTTATAACTTGTATAATTAAAGTGTCTAAGCATACAAGTATTACCCACATTGTCCACTGTCCAAGTCAACTCTAAGTCCCATTCCACTCTCTGTCCTATTCTTATAAAATGCCCCTCCCCCACGTGGTCTTGAAGTAGCTTGAGACTCTTGAGTAGGAGCTTTACTTTGACTACGCCTCAGCCTTTTTGGTCTTGGTGTTTTGAGACTAGATTGTGGTTTCTATTATAATGAATATCAATGCAAAAAGTGTTAGATGGTTATAAAAAAGTAATTAGCTGAAGAGTATTGTACTTACATCTGGACAAGTTGCTCTATTATGGCCTTCTTTTTGACAAATGGTGCATTTGGCAGTAGATCTTCTCTTGCTTAATTTGTCAGGTGTAGGCAAAGGCAAATCTGGATTTTGCTGAGAACTTTTCTGTGCAGGTTGTCCTGGATTGCCAATTTTTCTTCTCCTCGCAGACTCTTCTGTCCTTATCCTCTTCTTTCTTGGTCTTCCTGGCATGTTAGACACTAGAGGTGGTTCCAATGACTGGAACCTATGAATACCCCAGAATGCCTTGCCCCTCACTAGTTGAAATTTTGTCCTATAACTAGCCAAATATGCATCCGTGTGATAGTATCATGAAATCAAAATTATTGGGTCCAATTTTGCATGATACAATGCACAAAGAGCATGCTGACAAGGGATACCAGTCAAGTCCCATGCTCTACACGTGCGTTGTTTCCTATTGATGAACACAGTATGCCTATTGTCACCCTCATTTACCTCGTACCCATCATCACCATTAAAGGCAACCCTACAATGCACGAACAAGTTCCTATTCTCCTCAAACAAAGCAATAGACTTAGGGCTAAAATTTCCCTTCCACTTTTCTGCTAGCCTCTCAGACTCAGCCCACTTAGACATCATCTTTATCCGAATCCCATCTATCATCCTAATTATAGGCAAGTATCTAAAATCATCTATCCAGGCATTAAGACTCTCACTGCAATTGTTATCAACAATCTAGGACAAGCACCGAGTACTAAAAAATGCTCTTACCCACATAGGAGGAGGGTAACTCACAACTGCCTGCTCTGCTTCTTTGCTCAAAGCTCCTAATGCTCTCAAATTGTCATCAAATTGCTCCTCAAACGTGCTCCATGCGCATGCAAAGAAAGTTTTCTTCAACTGACCACTATGCCATCTCTTGCTCCAATTAGCATAAATGTGTCTTGCACACAATCTATGCTCAGCTTCTGGTAATACATCCGACACAGCTAAATGCAACCCCTATACCATTAGAAGACAATTTATGTTTTATATCATAATTGCAACAGTTGTATGCAAATGACAAATGTGATAAGAAAAAAACCTTTTGCATATCAGACATAATGGTCACACGCTCCCCATTGTTCAGATCCAATGACTTTTGTAACCACTGGAAAAACCATTTCCAATTTACAGTGTTTTCCTTCTGGGTGATCCCAAATGCTATGGGATACAAGAAATCATCAACATCTAAGCCAGTCGCTGTTAGTATTATACCATTGGCATTTCCCTTCAAAAAGGTCCCATTAACTTGTTAGAATCAATCTCACCCAAGAGCGGGGTGAATTGGGTGAGTTACAAAAACTTAAAAATTAAAACGAGACAGTATTGAAAACAGAGAGTCAGAGTCAGGAGAGATTTCACCAAAGAGGGAAGACACAAGATTTATACTGGTTCGGTCTTAACCACTTGACCTACATCCAGTCCTCAGAACACTTCTGAGTATTTCACTATCTTCCAAGATCGACAGGGCTCTTGGTGCCTCGGTACAGTAATTGAATCGCTCAATCACTCCCCCTTACTCCCGTAAGGATACAAGCCCTCTCAAGAGTCCACACTCTTGAGTATCACTCAATAGTAATTAATGAAGAGTAGTTATCGACTCTCTTACAGAGTGAGTTTAATGATGAACACTGACGCTCAGTAGTATTGAGGAAAACAGAGTACTGAATGCTAGGCTTAATAATCGCAGGTGGTAGTTCCGCTATTCAATCCCTTCATTAATGCTTCTTCGCGCCTTTTATAGTTGAGATCGTTAAGTAGCCGTTAGACGGAAGAGCTTCTAGCCGTTGTGACTCCGTTTGCGTGTTTCGCCGGTTTCAACGGTTCCGTTATTAATGCGTCTGAGCTTCTGACACTATAGATTGTAGTTTACGTAATCCCGTTGAAGAGCCGTTGCAGTCTTTCTTAGTGATCTGCATATTTTAAACTTTGAACAAGTAAGAGTCTTGCGGTGTATGCTTTAGTCATGAACTAAGAAGAAGAATGAATCGATTATACAAGGATTCTAGATGAGATGATTTATCTGTAAAAAGATCAGAAAGAGATCCTGGACATGCTTAATCAAAGTGGTGATCGATTACTTGTTGATCGATCAGGTTATCGATAAACAGAGTGAAAGCTTTTTGAATCAGTTCAACAATATTATCGATCAAGTGTTGGATCATTGATTTTAGGAGTTATCATAGTAAACGGAAATCGTTCCATGATCGAACAAGTGATCGAACACTTGTTGATCGAACAGATTATCGATAATTCAAATGTTATTGAAATGAAACTTCAGTTATTGATGATCGAACAACTTATCGATAAATGGATGATGGATAAGGTTATCGATAAACCATGAGTAAGAATATATTCAGTGAAAAACACAGACTATCTGGAATGATCGAACAGGTGATCGATCAATGAATATTCGAACAAGTGATCAATAAAGTGAAGAAAGAAATTTAATCCTGTAAGGTAAAGAAACTGATTATCGATCACGTTTTGTGAAAACATGAGTTTCAGGAAATCGGATGATCGATCATATTATCGAAAAGTCAATGATCGATTAGGTGATCGAAAAAAAATGGTTCAACATAAGTTAATGCGAATATAGCAATCCTTAGACTCTTTATCGATCATGTTATGTGAAAAGATATTATACAAACAAGTTAAATTATCGATAATGTTATCGATAATTTGGCTGCAGAAAAACTAAATATGAGCAGATAAAAACATTGATTATCGATCATGTGATCGATAATTTTCTGATCGATAAGGTTATCGATCCAGCAGTTAAGATGACTACCTGCATTCAGAGAGTTAGATCATAATGTTCGATCATGTGATCGATAAACAAATGATCAAAAATATGATCGATAAATGATAACAGAATTAATGTGCAGAACGAGTAGAGTGTGTTACCTCTTATCGAAGTCGTTATTGATAACTGATTTATCGATCATGTGATCGATAAATACACTTCAGATTTGGTTCTCTTTATCTGTTACTTGTTTGTTTATCTGATGTTATCGATCAAGTGATCGATAATTAACTGTAACCTTATGTGATTTCCATGTTAGCGATGATCAATCATTTTATCGATCAACAACTTATCGGATAGCTCTTCGATCAAAATACCTTCTATAAAATTGATTTATACCAGAATAGTTATCTGAAAACTTAGCGATAAACTCTGATCGATCAACATACTTAACCCAATTAATCTAACTTTGTTATCATCAAAACTATAATCCTAACATAACTCCTATAATTGGCCTACACCCTGCCTTCCATCCAATCTTAGCAGCATTAACAAACAAGACACGACATCAGAATCTAATTACCACCATAGATTTAACAAAATTAAAAAGTCACCAATGTAAAATTAAAAAAAATTAAAAAGTTACCTTTAAAGCATTAAAGCATATATAGAGTCTATTGAACATCCTTTTTCCATTGTCTAATGCATCTTTACTCAGTTCAAGAGAGACATCCGACCCAGGATTGGATGTTTTGAGCTCATGACAATAAGCTTGCAGGTTGTTGAACTCATCGATATAGCTTCCCTCCATCTGCCTCATAATTATTTTCTTCTCCAATTTGCATTTATAAATGCTTACATGAAGCTTCAACTCATCCTCCATGTCCTTTTTCATGTCAGCAATCTTGTACTGTGGCCTCTCTTGGATCTTCCTCTTGAAATAGTTTGCAATTCACTTCACTGAAGCCCTAGGGTTCTTGAAAACCCTACCACATCTGTGTTTTAGGAAAAGGGTCTTCACTACTAGCCCTGGATTTGTCCCATCTTTTGATGCATACAGCACAAATGGACACCCATCCTCACATAAAGCCTTTACCTTAAACGGCTCACTTTTAGCTAGCCTCAACTTCACTCCAAGCTTAATGGCATAGTTATTTATTACTCCTACCAACTCAGCTTTGTTTGCATATGTATTTCTAAGCATGAAAAATGGCTTATCTTCAGACCCAGTTGCTTCTTCATGGGCTCTCACTTCTACGAAAGGGCCATTAGTATCACTTGAGCCCACTTTAGTAAACAAGTCCTCATCCTCAGAATCTTCATCACCATCATCTATGAGCAACTCATCATCTCTCGGGAAAAAATCTTTATCTTCACTATCATCCTCTTCACTCTTATCACCTTTACTATCACCATCTTCACTATCATCCTCTTCAGCTTCATTATCACCCTCGCTTATATCTTCCAACCCATCATTTTCTCCATTATCATGACATGTTTGACTAACATCACACATATTGGGGTTATTACAAGGTTGCTCATGACTCTTTCCCTTTAACAAATCCCTAGTTCCTTCGTCTACTTCCTTCTGCTTCTCAATTCCTGACTCCACACCTTTACTCACTACTTCAACCCATTCATTTTGTCCATTGTCATCACAGATTTCAATCCTATCATATATATCGGTGTTATTAGATGTGTTATGACCCCGCTTTCCCTCAACCACATCCCCATATTGCTCTTGTATTTCCTTCCGTCTCTCAATCAATTCGGCTTTCAAGGTCTCTAAGAAGCATATTTTTTGATTCCAATCCATCTCATCCCCATTATCGGCATCATCCCCATCATCGGTATGCCCACTTTCACCACCATTGTCTTCCTCAACACACTTTCCTTTCCCCTTATCTAGTTGGATTTCACCTTCCCTATTGCCACCCTTTGTACACTTTTCTCTCGTCAACCTAGATGCTGAGATAGAAGCCGCAATCGACTCATGCCCCTCACGTAGACGCTCTTTTGTCTCTTTCCACTCTTTCTTCCTGTTATTAAACTCACACAACAAACTACCCAGATAACACCAATATTCGACACCAGATTTGGGACCAATATTGGGACCACCATTGGCACCACCATCGGGACCACCCTTGGGACCACCATTCTCATTATCCGACGCCATCACCACCTTAAACTCAAGATTAATTACCAAAAAACTACTAATTAACAGACAATGTAATGAACAAAAAACAAAGGACTAATATGAACTTTCACCATCTGGATAAAAAAAGCTTCCAATCACACTTTTTTCATACCAACACTGAAATAGATTCCATTCTTACTTGTCTCCGAAAGAACCTCTGCGCTCGTCTCCTCCTTTCCTTGCCCTAACACCACTAAGACTTGTAGCCCTCTGATTTCACTCATACTTTAGACTTCGTCCAACCCTAGCACAACAATTCCTTCTCCCTCGACAGCTAAAACTTCCAGACTCCTTTCGTCTTCCTCCCTCGAATTTTCACCGTTTTTCCTTCTCCGTTTTACACGTGTCCATCCCGCCTCCATATTTCCCATCCAACTAAATGCCACGTCGTTCGCAGGATGGTACTTCGGGCTACACGGTGTCACTTAACGTAAAACGTTAAGTTTCCGTCTAAATAGGTTCACATTGCTACCTTCTTGTAACTTCCAGGGCTACATTGCACTTAAAAAAACTTCATGGCAGCCAGAGTTTCTTTGTGGAAACTTCCAAGGCAAAAATGACCTTTATCCCTTAAAGAAAACAATCATGCATCACTATAAATAATGGAGTGAAAGGTGCGCATGAGAAATAAGGTCATGAATAAAATTGCATTTTTACCTTTTAAAATTTTGGATAATTCTACACGATTCAATCACATTATAACTTAAATGTTCCATTTCATTTTTTTCATTTATATCATTCATGATATGAAATATTTGCGATAATAATTATTCTTCTAAAATAAAGAAATAAAATTTACATCACTGAATTTTTTTATATATCAACAAATTATACTATTCATAAATGGTACACGATATAATTTATTTTTATATATCAATACATGAAATTAACATGGTTGACTTAAAAAAACAGAAAATTGTCCATAAATATTGAATCTCGAAATTCAATGATATGTTTTAATACTCAAAAAATATCAACAAAGGGCTTTATGCAATTCTTCATGGTCTAAACAGATATTTATAAGCTCTGGCAAAAAAAAAGAAGAAGATATTTATAAGCAAATTTCTCTAAGAAAAAGAATACCCATTACCCAGAATGAGAGTAACACCACTCTCCTTGAAGCAAAATATAAAATTTTTTGCTCATTTAATTAATGTTGATTTTGCGTATCGCACGAAACCTAACAAGCGAGTCAACTTTTTACATGAAAATACTGTTTTTTTTTTAAAAAAAATCTTGCGTACCCCTTATTTAATAAATGAAAAAAAGAATTAGAATATAAGCAAGTATAACATATTATTTAATAAAAACATAAGAGATATATAAGATTTTTTTAAAAAAAAAAACCACCAAATTCATTTTTCTTATTGAAACTCGACAAAATGATCATTAATTAAAAAGAAAGTTTACAGCACAATATATGAGAAAGTAGACCTATTCTTCTAGTCTATTTATAAGGCACTTTCAACATGTTTCGTACAAACCAAGGAAAACCTTAAATTGCATTAACTTTTCAATAATATATAGCAACTTTTTAACTTTATCCCTATTTAATATATATACCTTCTAAAAACAAACTATCTACATTATAATAAATGAAAGATAATATAATACATTCATGGTGAAAATTTAATGAAATGACTTATAAATAAGATCAAAAAAACTTTCTCTCTTTACCTTATAAATAGGATTAGAAGAGTACACTACAAGAATTGAGGATAAGGAAACAAGATTTGAAATAACATCTATCTAAGAAAAATTGAATCTACCAATTGAAGCAAGTAAAAAAAAAAACACAGATTAATATAATTTTTGGTTTTTGGAGTTTATGTTTATTTTTGTTTTAGTTCGTCAAGTCAAAAAAAAAATCTGAGTTTTAATTGAATCATAAAAATTAATATTTTAAATAATAAAAAATTTGATGATCAAAATTAAAATAAAAATAAATTTGAAAAAACAAAAATTATATTTCCTCCAAAAAAAATATTAATGATCATCCCCTACTATACAGTGACGGGTGAATATTAATTAAGCAGTATAGTCATGGATATAGTAGCGTAGAGACGTAGACATCTAGATTCCAGAGAAAACTCCAAAAGAAACAAAACAACCGGACAACCTGAAACCAAACTTTGGAGTAATGTCTTTGCTTGAAATTATTTAATGTTCATTCTTTTTTTAAAAAATTATTTTGTTCATTAATTAATTAATTATTCACGGCCCTTTTTGACCCATAAACCCCACCGCTTCTGACCCCACTTCGCCCCTCTCCTTCCCATTCAACACTTCACACCTCACTTTCACCTCGTCTCTCTCTCTCTCTGTGTGTGTGTGTGTGTGTCTGTGAAGCTATGGCAAACCCCTCACTGAAGTTCTTCTTCCTTCTTTTCTCCTTCGCTTGCATTTTCACTGGCGCCGCACCTTATTCCATCGGCGTCAACTATGGCACCGTCGGTGACAACCTCCCGCCGCCGCCTCGTGTCGCTACCTTCCTCAAGTCCCAAACCAACATCGACCGCGTCAAAATATTCGATGCCAACCCCGACATTCTTCGCGCCTTCGCCAACACCGGCATTGCCGTCACCGTCACCGTCGGCAATGGCGACATCCCTTCTCTCGCCAAGCTCCCTGCTGCTCGTTCCTGGGTTGCCGATAACATCCTCCCGTTTCACCCTAAAACCATCATAAACCGTATCGCCGTCGGCAACGAAATCCTCGCCACCTCCGATAAGTCTTTAATCGCTCATCTCTTACCCGCCATGAAAGCTCTTCATTCAGCTTTAACCCTTGCAAACATGACTAACGTTCAAGTCTCCACGCCTCACTCGCTGGGGATTCTCTCCTCGTCGGAGCCACCAAGCTCGGGTCAGTTCCGACGGGGCTACGACCGGGCCATATTTGCCCCGATTCTCGAGTTTCATAGACAGACCAAATCTCCGTTCATGGTGAACCCGTACCCGTTCTTCGGGCTCCAAGCCGCGCGACCCGAAACACTGAACTACGCTCTGTTTAAGCCAAACGGCGGCGTTTTTGACCAGGCTACAGGGATTAACTACACCAACATGTTTGATGCACAGATGGACGCGATTTTCTCGGCGATGAAGAAGGTTGGATACGACGACGTAGAGATCGTGGTGGCGGAAACGGGTTGGCCTTCGAAGGGTGACCCGAATCAACCCGCGGCCAGTCTGGACAATGCGGTGTCGTATAATGGGAATCTCATAAAGCATGTGAACTCGGCAAAAGGGACGCCATTGATGCCAAACAGGACTTTTGAGACCTATATCTTCGCTTTGTTCAACGAGAACCTCAAGCTCAGTGTCGCAGAGCAGAGTTACGGGTTGTTTAATGCCGATTTTACCCCCATCTATGACGTTGGCGTCCTCAAACATGAACAGGTAATTCCGTAATTTTCGGCTCCTTTTCGGATTTGGAAATTAGACCCGTGTGCGTTTTCAGTTATGTGCTGTCTGATGAAATCCAGCTGTTGTTTCAGATTCCATTTTCAACACACATAATCACGTAGATACAAAAGTACTCCTTTAATTTGCTTTATTTTGCTCCCCAATATTAATCCTACAAAAATAAAAAAGTAGCAAAACTGCATTGCTAATAATCCACTAAACGTATATTCTATATATATATCGTTGATTTGATATCGAAAAATATTTTTATTTTTTTGCCAACAGAAAAATATATTTATTAATTCAAATGATTGTTAATGTGAGGAATATTTGGGTGAAATGAAATAGATTTAAACTTTCAGAGTGAAACTCGGCCTCCTAGGTGGAGGGCTGTTTGGTCATTTGGGTTCGATTTCCATTTATGGGAAAGCGCGAAAGCTTTTCATCGTACAAAAAGTCAAAAAGTTCGCAGGCTTTTCTTGTGCAATTTGATAGTAATTTGATCCCTACGATAGAAAATAAATTTTAAAACAATAAATAATTATAAGATATTCTTTGTAAATGAATTCTTATTTACCTTCTCCCTCAGGTAGTCTCAGAATACAGTTTTTCATATTTCAAATGTATTTTCGTTTAAAATGTTAATTTTTATTTTTAAAAGATTAAAATTTATGATTTAAAATTTGAGTGATAAAAATCACAATTAGAAGAAAAAAATTATATTCCTCCCGTTCTAATTATAAGACCCAATTAACTTATTTGAGGAGATTAAGGAAGTAAGTTAAGTTGGTTATTTATAATAAATAAGTGTTGTTATTCCTAAAATATCCTTGCTAATTAAGTATATTGGCTAAAACTATCATTATTAGAAGGATTATTTTGGAAAAAAATATAAATATAAAAGAGAAAATGGATTTGGTCTTATAATTAGGACCAAATAAAAAGTTAAATTGAGTCTTATAATAAGAATAATAAGAATCGGAGGAGTATTAGCTATTTTTTGGATATTTTGCGAGACACTTTTTTTTTTTTGGCCGACATTGACAAGACATTAGATGATCAGAATGTTGCACTGTTACCGGGAAAGGTCATCGGGAAGAAAAGTGTTATTAATTTGGGTATGGATTGTGTACAGGCGCTGAGTCCTACATCCGGGCCAGCGGCGATGGGACCAACGTCGGATTCAGAGAACAAGTGGTGCGTGGCGAAAACGAACGTGAGCGATGAGGTCTTGCAGAAGAACATAGATTATGTGTGCAGCAAGGGAATAGACTGTGGGCCCATAAAGGAAGGTGGGCCATGCTTTAAGCCCGACACTGTAAGGTCTCATGCCACATATGCAATGAATGCATATTATCAAGCTTCCGGCCGGCATGACTCCGATTGCTATTTTGCCGGCACCGGCGTGATCAGCACCACTGACCCAAGTAAGTCTTTTTAAAATTACATATTTGATAAAATTTACCACTAAGAATTTCCAGAAATATCTTGATATTTTAAAAAAAAGAAGTTCGAGAGATTTGTTATGTTTTATTTTCTATTAGTTTATTAAAAAATAAATTATTATTATTTTCACTATAATCAACGTTTAGCTAGATATTTATAATTTGATCTATTTTAATGTTTTCGTCACATCATATGTGCTATGTGCTATGTGCTATGTGCTATGTGCTAATGAAATTATATCGTAATGATAAAAGCAGTAATTATAATAGATGTAAATTAAATAAATTTAATTTTAAGAAAAAGGGGCAATAAATTAAATTATGGTGGTGGTGGTGATGTCAGGTTACCGGAAATGTGCATACGGCGGAGCACGGAGTGGAGCAAAGAGAGGAGAAGGACCATCACGGGCAGAGACAGGTGGCAGTGTGAGAGGTGGCAGTGTGAGATTGGGCAGTGATACTTTCCGTCTCCAACATAATAATGCTGTAGCCTTGGGTTCTTATGTAGTACTCCTATTATTGTTGCACTTTTGTATGCTTTCTTAATTCTTGTTGTTATTGATATATGGATCTCTGCCCTTGAATTTTGAGTAGAATTGTCATGTGATGCGACAGTAAAATGTGATGCCCTTGTCTTGGGTTTTACTTTTTCTTGGGTCTCTGGACATGTTAATTGTCCAATTGTCCCCGCAACCAAAGCACGTTAGTCTTCTCTAAAATTGAATCATTTTTTAACTTTTTCATATGGGAAAATGACCCCAAAAAGATTGAATATAGTAAATTCCAAAATGCAGAGTTACCACTTCCAAATAACACGAAATAAGGCAAGCTTGAATTGGAATTATGAAAACTTGAAAAATATGACCAATATGTCTTTGTGTGAAGTATGAACTAACAATTTTTGAATTGAAAATGACAAATTATAAATTACTTATCAGAACATGTTATTAAGATATAACTTGTGAATTGAAAATAACAAGATGTGAACTGAAAATAATAATAACAAAACCCAAAATAACAATTCGATCACACAATGGCATATTAGTTATTTCTTCAAATTTTCATAATTCCAGTTTAGGTTTTTTTTTTCTTGTCATTTTAAAGTGTTACATATTTTTTTTTTTAGAATTTTCTATATTCAATGTTCTTCTTTTGATCACTTTCCTTCACATATTAAAGTTTGATTTAAGAACCATGGTTCCTTATATTCCCTAACTATTGATGTTGTTGTTGAATTAAGCTGTAAAAAGATAGTGATCTTGATGCAGGCCATCATAGGAGATTGGAGGCTGAAAATTGTTTATACTAATATGATACTGTTTAGCACTGTGCTTTTTAAAGATTCACCTCATTAGATCAAAGGCATTGTTCTTCAAAAGGCTCAAATTAAATTTGGAATCACATCACAATGCAAGAAACTGGAATTACTTATTTTTCCTATTTTATAATTTTTGGTCAAATCAGAGAGTGCATGTAACTAAATATAGTTGGCTATCCCTTCTGTCCAAATGTTCCTCCTTCTGAAAAGGAGCATTTGGCTCAGATAGTTAAAGTTCTTGTTATTGAACGAAAGACCAAATATTTAGGAACTTGGATATATACGAAAGTACTGTAAACTTACTGATTCTGCTTTGCATAGACTTCTTTTGGGGTTTCGTCGGTGATCAAAAGAAAATTCGTGTTTAAAACTGGAACGTATGAATTCAAATTCTTTCATTAAAGTTACTTATAATGCTTCTTAGTTTTGGAAGCTAAGGGAATTAGTTCAGTAGTTGATTTAATTGTTCCTAATCTTAAACAAAGAGTAGGTACTAGTTCAAATGTTCCCTTAAACCATGCCTATGAGATCTAATAGTCCTCTTGCTGCCAATCAGACATTAATAATAGCTGATCTTGTTGGAAGAGGCAGCAATATATGGCACCCTGTTAAATGGAACTCTCAACTCATAAGAAGATTGTATGATCTTCATACTTTTAAGCAAATTATTTGTTTTTGTTGTTTTTTCTTTTGGGGATGGCCAAACATGGTTTTAATATTTTAATGAAGTACTCTTCCGATCCTAAATATAAGACATTTTTTATAGTGTAAAATGTCTTATATTTAGGATCAGAGGAATAGCTTGTTTCTCATCTACCAAGGCAAGACTCTTTTTCGGATAAGATATATCAGGAAATTCATCTTACACTATAAAAAATGTCTTATATTTAGGATCGAAAGAATAGCTTGTTTCTCATCTACCAAGACAAGACTCTTTTTCGAATAAGATATATTGAGACATTCATTTTCCATGTAAATACTTGTTATTTTTTTCTGATGACTAAATGCTTGTCATTTTTTGCTTAAAAAAAAGGTAAATCTTGAAATCTTCTTTGTCATTTGGAGAAATTCTCAAATTGCATCATCTCAATGCTTCATCTTTATATCTTTTTATATTTGAACTACTTCTTAATAGAAACTTTTTAACAAATATAATCACTATAGGATTGCTTTGAGGACAAAATAGATAAATATTTGATATAAAGTAGATTGTGATGTCACATTTAGGGTCACATTGAATTTTCAGCTCGTTTTTTTTTAATTAACTACAAGAGGTAGTGTGTGTATATATTTTTGTGTTAAACTTGGTCTTCAAATCATTTACAAAAATTATAAATTTTATAATAAAAATAGTTGTGAATTTAAAAAAGAATGTCAATTTTAACAGAATAATTGTAAATTGAGTCATCTCCTTTTTATTCTTTTGGTGGTTCTCCCTATTTTCCTCTTTTTCCTCCTATTCCTTCTGCTTCTTCTTTTTCAAATTTTCTACTGGAAAATTTTAATAAGAGTAATATTTGAAAATTTTTAATTAATAACTTATTAAGTGATCATCAATTTTTTGGGGGAAAAAGTCATATATAAAGGATAAAAAGAAATAACAACACTGTAGAAAAAGAACTGATTTCAAAACCTTTGGCCCAAAAAAAATTTTGATTTTAAACCTCAAGAATTAGCGGGGAATTTTCTCTGGAAAAAAAATCTAAAATAACACTTTTGGCGAAAATAAATTAATTTTAGGCTTTAAACAGAGCCCTTTTCAGTGCTCACTCAAAAAAAAAAAAAAAGCCCTTTTCGTTTAATAAATTCCTCTTTTGGTTCGGCATTCCCCCTTTGGTTGAGCTCCCCGTCGGACGCCGTCCACTGTTGCCAGCCCTGCGTGGTTGTTCTCCTGCAAGTGTTGAAGAAGGTGCGTACTTCTTCTTCTCCCTCAATCCGTTGACATTGATTTGTTCAATCTGGCTTTGAATTGGTTCCCCCCGTCATCTGTTGATTTCTGTTCATTGCCAACCCTGCGTCTGTCGCCGTTGTACCGTTTCTTGCTTTGTCTTCTGTTTATTTCACTTTAGTTATTTCGAAGATCGTAAATTGCTAGAGTCTTAATAGTGTTATTCTCAAGTGGCTTGGAGGAGTTGCCTGCACCAATTCGGCTTACCAAGGCGTCTTCATTAAAGTATCTGGAACAAAAATTAAAAAGGGAATGATATCAACTTAGCATCTTTCAAAGATTTGGCCCCGGCCCTCGGGGGGGGGGGGTTTGCTGTCTTTAATCAACCTCCACCTCAATAATGTGAGGTGGCGGATGATGAAGGAAAAAACGTAAATCCTTTTTAATTTCACATCTCACTGTTTTGCATCTTATTTCACAAAACAATTTCTTAAGAACCGCTACTATGCAGGAATCTAGCTAGTTGAGTAACTTGTTCATCTAAAAAATTTTATAATGTTGCATTCCTTGTTATCATTTCTGTCAGAGAATCATTTTTTCCTGTGTCAGAATGATTGCATTATTTCTCTTATTGGAAATTTTGCTTATTTTCATAGGCATTGAGTTTCAGTTTACATAGTTGTCAATAAGCTTTTAATGCATATACTGTCAGCAAACTTCACTTCATGCGTAGCAGGATTTTGATGTTCATGGAAGGTTGATTAGTCTTAACAGTGAATATACTTCTTGACTGGCAGAAAGGAGCTTGTAAGCATTTCTTCACCCAAATCAGTGGTAAATGCTGAGTTGCTGACAATAGTTTTTTCTTAGGGCTTCTGTTTCTTATATTTTCTCATCTACCAGCTCTTTTCCATGAACCCTATGCGAAACCTAAGCATTAGGAAATCAACTTCAAACCCACCTTAAAGGCAAAAGCCAAAAAGAAGAAGAACTGTGCTGAAATCGAGGCTCAAGTGGGCAAAAACCCCATCAGACTTATCTTTTGGTGTGGCAAAAGTTGCCATTTCGCAGATCTGTCAGTCAGTTGGCTTTAAGAGAACCCAGCTCTATGCTGTTGAAACCTTAACTAATGTTGCTGTAGAATATCTGCAAGCCATTGGCAAATCAGCTGCCTCTTTTTCCAATGCCTCAAATTGCACCAACGCCAACCTCTTTGACCTCATCAATGCTGTTCATGACATAAGCTCTGTGCAGGGATTTCCCACAGCTTCAGAGATGCAAAAGAGTGAGGTGCTTAGATCTAGAGCATTGAGAGACATAATGAAATTTTCCAACCTTTATAAAGAATTATCATGTGCAAAGCCAATTCCCTGCCCAAGTTTTTCTCCATGTCCAAATCCAGTACAACCCATTGATTCAAATGCATCCATGGGCTGCTATAAACAAAATCTGCGAGGTTCTCACATACCAAGATGGCTGCCAGACTTTCCTCCTGAAAGCTCATGCAAGATTTGCAGTCAGGTAATTAAGGAAAGGAAAAATGGTGAAAAATTGTGGGGATAGTCAACTCCCTTGGAGATTTGTGGTGGTGGCATTGGGCAAAAATAGGAAAGTATTACAGACCGATGAGGTGTGTGGGAAAGAATTGAATGATGGAAGGATGGAGCTAGCAAAAGAAGCAAGTTAAAGTTTAACATTAGAAGGCAGAAAGGGCAAGCTTTTGGGTTATACAATACTCTGAGATTCCCCAACATTGGACTTATAAAAATGCACCTCCCTCGAGAGCCAAAGTTCTCGATGGCTCCACACCATAGTACTTTATTTGGCCTATTGTCGGTCAGAACCCTCTGTGGATAGCCCTTTTTGTGATATCAGGCTTTCAATGAAAGCACTGATGTGATAAGTATAAGTCTAAAAAAAGAGCCTAAACTCAAAAGACTATCATATTAAAAGGGAGAACTATTTGAACTTATAAATCACAAAATACTTATCCCCACTGTAAAACTCATGACATGTTTCCACCTATGGGAATTTGTTTAACTTTGATCATTAATATTTTTAAAGCCAAAACTGCTTCCTTTTTAATACTTTCATGATATTGATCCAACAAAATTTTTTGGATACTCATAGTTCATACACAAAAATTTTTGGGACAAAATTGAAGTTTAACCCATTTTGAAATGTCTCAACTTATGGGAATTTGTTTGCCATAGCTTGGTTGGGTTTAGAAACAGATGAAATGCCCAAGAAGTGATTAAAGCACCAAGAGAAGATGCAAGACTAAACAGTTTTGAGCATGGCTGCGATGCAAAACGAAACAGTTTTGAGCATGGATGCGTTTAAGGAAGCAGATAGTGGCATTTTGGGGTGAAATGACGCAGCCCATTTTATCTCATATAAAATGTCCTAGCGTACCAAATTTGGTGTGAATCTGCTTTGGGGTGGCCTCTGAACTATCTTCAAAATTTTAGTCCAAGACCTTTACTGAAATATTTTGGTGCCATCAACAGGACCTGGGTTTAACGGAGATTTAACTTCCTATAAGGAGAGTTACCCCATTTCACCTGCTCCTGTTGTAAATGAAAGCTGTATTTCGGTGTCGTATAGCCCTAAGATTTTTAGGGCACAAGGTAAATAGAGTAATAAGAAGCCAATGCAGAATTAAACAAATAATAACCATAGTAATATATCTTCAGATTTTTCTTCACTCGTTATATCCCCTCTTCTCCTCTCCTTGTCGTCGCTGCTGTGGGTGGGTGGCTATGGTTGAACGTCACCCCTTTTCCTTTTCTCTTGTACATGGATTGTGTGAGGTACGTTCTAATATTTCTTCCTCCTTGGTTTTCAAGAATGTTGTTTTTTCCTTCTCTGTTGTGTCGTATGTATGGACTGGGAAATCGTTGGTTTTCCTCCGATATCAAGGTTTGATGATTATTTAGAGTTGGATTATAACTGTAATTTATGAAGTTTGGGACTGTGATTCTAAAAGGAATATTCTTGGAGCCTATCAAATTGAATGCACACTAGGTGGTTGATAAAATGTTTGAAAGGAGAATTTAAAGCTGATAGATATGAGTAATGTAGCATAGACCAAATTCTGGGATTGAGGAAATCTCGAGAAACCATTTTTGTTGCTTGGAGAGTTATGATTGGTAATTTATGAGCATGTGGCGTTGTTTATATTTGATTACCCATAAGGTGCTTGATGAAGTGATTGGTAGATGAATTTTAAATTATTGTAGCAATTTAGCGTGCTGAAGTTATTTGTTTATGAGTTAATTTTGGGTGCCTTCAAAGTGTTGGATAAAATACTTGAAGGAAACAAGAGTTATAAGTGAGTTGTAAGATAGTTATGATGAATATGATATTTGTTGGACTTGGAAGCATGTATGAAAAGGAAGAATACAAGACTTCTTTTATGCTTGCTTGGATTGTCTTTAGAATGGCTAAGTAGCCAACCATGGTGTGTATGCATACACACACACACACACATATTATCAATATCAATTAGATTTAATATTATATTCTATGTGAGGAGGGTTGAAGCCAAGACCTCTGTCTATGCTTATTAAAAGTTTAGAACGGTGGATGTGTTCATTAGGTCATGGAAAGTTATCGCTAAATAATTTAAGGAAGTTGGACTGAATCTTGAACGTTGATAATCATAATTACTAGATGGTTACTGCTAAATTGGTGGTAGTATGGATTTTATTAAATGGATTCTTTGAATTCTTATAAAGGTTGTGAAACGGGAGTTATAATAGTTTTGTTTTGGGCATCAAGGCTTTTAAAAAGTGGATGCTATGTGAAAGCTGCTAATAAAGTAAATTGTAGGTATCTGGCAATGTAACGGGCAGTGCAGCTTATCTGGTTCGTCTTGCTGATCATTTAATAGTTTGGGCTTGAAGTTGAAGCGTCATTTTGAATGATCCCTAATTTAAATTAGAACCTTAAACTCTTGTATGTGTTTGTAAATCTTCTTGTAGGTGCTCTGCATAGGCCACAAGTAGGATCTCACCTTATTTATTGTTCAGTATATCTGTTGTTATGGAGCGGCTCCGCTCTTTGGTTGAATTGTGCTAATTTACTATTGTAGAGTTTTCAAATGGTCCTCTACCAAAATTTCTACGAGTTTGTGATTTTTGTTATATAAATTATATTCATACTCTGAATTATGAATTATAAATATGTCTATATATATATATATAAATACAGGAAATTTTATATATTTAAGGCTTAAGGGCAGTGGGATCTTTCACATTTCATGCCGGTCACCCCTTAATTTTCGGGGTGTGGCATGACTTTTGCTAGGAGGAGGAAGTGAGAGAAAATTAATTAGTGTTTAATAAGGTTTTATTTTCTTATTTTGCTGTTGCTTAATTTGAGTTATTGTGGAGAGATTTTAAGAGTCATGTAAGGATACATATTGTAGTTAATGGGACGCCAACGTCCAGTTTTTGCTACTTAGTTGTCGGAGTGAGTTCTAAAATTTCAGGAATTACTTTTGGATTTTATTTGATTATTTTGATGTAATTCCAGTCTATAAATAGCCACCATAGAGCTAGTCATTCAGCAATAGCATATCAATTTTATCCTTTGGAGATTCTCCATATTCTTTGACTAGTAAGAAATAGTCGAGATACTTGCTCTACTTTTCTTCCTAGGCAAGGAATTCTAAAGTTTGGTGAATTTTAGAGTTCATCTGACTAGGTAAATACTGACGTATGTTAGGTGTGTTGAAATGTGTTTTTATTTTATTGTCATGTGACGAGTCTCAAGGGAGGAATGATTGGCCGATTATATTTGAAGGTGATATTATTGATGGTAAGTATTTTGGGCATGATCACGTGATGATTGTATCTTGGGAGTGGTCATCTTGAGAACAAATTCTGTGGAGGTACTGTCATAGTTTGAGCTTATGGTTATTTCAAGATTTTGGGTGCATGGACAAACCTAATTCGACAATCAAAACTTGCCCGAAGTGTTGGTGTCAATTTGTTTGAGTAGCAAAATTAACCATGTCTAAAAATCACAATTTTTGGCTTTTGGGTTTTCTAACTTAGGAGAAGTTTTGGTTTCAAGTGTGCGGTTGTCATTGCTTGATTTCCACCAGAATTTAAGAATTTTTTCTACTTAGAATTTTGGGTTTTACTTCTGTTCTATGTAGAATCATGGGAAGTTCTAGTTTGGCTGCTTTTCATGTAGGTGCTCTTATAATAGATAGTGATTTAAAATACTAATTGGCTCAGGTCTATTTTGGATCATGATAAAACCATTGTATTAGTTGTAATTATTGCTGTTTGGACTTGAATAGCCCATATGACCATGTTTTGCATATGAGAGCTTTATTTAATTAGTTGCATGAGTTAATTGCTACACTGGGATTGGTAAGTTAAATTAACAATTAACAATTAAAGAAAAATATATTTATTATTATTCCAATTATATCCCCCCCCTAAAAAAAACCCCCACCCCCACCCACTATTTGTATGTATAGCCATTGACTGACTGGATTTTATGTTCAGAATCGGGAGCTCTTTAAAGCGTGCACAGGAGGAGCTACAGATGGCGTCTTTGTCATCGATGCTGCTGCCACATCCTGCAGAGCTTTGTTCTGTGGCTGTAGCTACTGTTCCTTCTATATCATTTTCTTCTGTAACCCCTCAAAGAAAGAGGACGCCTACCTCAAAACGCTCTTCTAAGCTCACAAAGTCCATCTCTCCACTTAAACCCTCAACAACTGTGACTAAAACTTTAGAATCCTCTATTCCTCTCAAAAAGGTGGTTCAAATGTTCATTGTATATGGAAATTTATTGGATCTAATTCACATTCTTTGACTGCTGCTAAATGCCCTAGAAATTTTGCGATATATGGGATCTTCTCACTTTATTTTTATTTTTTCTTGTGGGCAAATCAGGTATTGGTTCCTATTGGTTTTGGAACTGAAGAAATGGAAGCTGTTATTTTAGTTGATGTTCTGCGTCGAGCTGGTGCAGAGGTGACTGTGGCATCAGTGGAGCCACAACTTGAAGTGGAAGCTGCTGGTGGTATCAAATTGGTAGCTGATGCTGACATTTCAACATGCTCGGATGAAATTTTTGATCTTGTGGCTTTACCGGTGTGTTATAAAACTATTATTGGTGATTGTTCTGTTTTGCACCTTAGATATCAACAAAATCTTTTATCTGTAGTCTGAGAAAGTATGAGCAATGACATTAAGCCCTTGTAGCAAAGTGAACTATATATTAGAGTTTCATCTTATCTTATGCTGCATGCCATTAAGTTATTTAAATCTCCCGTTTTACAGGGAGGAATGCCTGGTTCAACAAGATTAAGGGATTGTGAGGTCCTGAGAAAAATAACCTGCAAGCAAGCAGAGGAAAAGAGGCTCTATGGTGCTATATGTGCTGCTCCAGCAGTTACTCTTTTGCCATGGGGTCTGCTAAGAAAAAAGAAGGTAGTTTAATTGGATGAACATCTATTATAGTTCTTATGATGCTTGCTGGTCAACACTGGCTAATTTTTATATAGTTTGTCATGCAAGACGACTTGTCATCCTGCATTCATGGACAAGCTTCCAACATTTTGGGCTGTTAAATCAAATATTCAAGTTTCAGGAGAGCTTACAACAAGCCGTGGCCCTGGAACTACTTTTCAGTTTGCTCTATCCTTGGTAGAACAGCTATTTGGGGAGTCAGCTGCCAGAGAAGTTGGAGAATTGCTGGTATATTGTTATATTGTTGAGCCCTGTCTAACTTCTTCTTCAATGTTGTGCTCAGCCGCTATCTTTGTTTAGTGATGGAAAAATTAGGCTTCAATTCCTACCAAAAACGCAAAACCCCAGGCCTAAAATGGACTTCAGCATGCCCGCAGTTTTTTTTCTTTGCCTTTTCTGTTGATAGATTGATGCAATGCGGAACAGAAGTTAATAACAAGATGAAATAAAACTAGAAATTTAGTAATAGCCTATAAGGAATGGTATGCAAGGACTCGTCTCTTTTGTATGCCAAATTTTGATGTGATCAGGGTGAAAAAAGCCTCAAAGCCAACTGTTTGAATGGTCAAGGTACTTAGTTTGGTTGAGGTAGAATTTAGGAATAGAAAAGAGTAGATGAAAATAAAGGCTAAGAGATAAACTTGTGTGAAACTGAAATCCAAAAATTGAAATGTAGATTAAAGCTCTTTTCTTGTAACAGTTGTTAGGTAATGCCAATGATGATTGTACAACCAAGAAGGAATTCAACACAGTTGAGTGGTCCCTTGATCACCATACGCCCAGTGTAAGCCGTACTACAATAGCCGATTGATGAGTCTACGTAACCCTATCTTGCAATATGAATCTTACTTAAAATAATATGCAGGTTCTCTTAGCAGTTGCTCATGGTTCTGAGGAGATTGAAGTAGTGATTATTGCAGATATTCTAAAGCGAGCAAAAGCTAATGTCATAGTTGCATCGGTAGAAAAAGATCGTGAAATTTTGGCTTCTCGAGGAACGAAAATAATTGCTGATATGTTGATTAATGATGCTCAAGAGTTAGCATATGATTTGATTATTCTTCCGGTGAGATGGATTTCTATATATAACATATAAATTTTCAAAGTTTTTAGCTCCAGAGATTTTAGAAAATAAATATCTTGCCCCAAATATTTGTTGATGTTGAATTTATCATGAACTTGAAGGGGGGAACTGATGGCACTCAGAGGTTAATCAAATGTAAAGTTCTCAAAAGACTTCTCAAAGAACAAAATGCATCCAGAAGAATTTCTGGGGCAGTGTCTTCTTCGCTTGTGATCCTTCATAAACAAGGTTTACTGAAGGTATTGGACACTCTCTTATTACAACTCTGCTTTCTAACCCATTTCTTAGTCAAAACGTAATATAGATACTGTTGATTTTCTAGGAAAAGAACTTCACAGCTCATCCTTCCATTGTGGACAATCTCAATGATGAAACAATAGGTGGTGCTAAGGTAGTTATTGATGGAAAACTGATAACTGGTGAGGGACTTGCCTCTGTCACACATTTTGCGTTGGCCATTGTTAATAAGCTTTATGGTCATGGAAGGGCCAGAAGTGTAGCAGAAGGCCTTGTTTTTGAGTATCCTAGGAGTTAACTCTTAGAGAAATTCTTTGGTGTAACATGGATGGAATCCATTGTATGTTATTGACTGGTTAGCTTGATTCGTGATAGGAACAGAGGAAGAAGGTTGGGTATTAAATAGGCAGTCCAACAATCTTGTCCTACGCTGCCCTGTGCAAACAAATCACAAAACCAAAAAAGCATATATAATGACATCATGTAATCTATCTGATTGGGTTGGGATCAAGTTTTGTTGTCGTTTCTCTGTTGAGCAGTAGATTAATTTGACTGAGAAAAAATGGTAAATAATTTTTAATAGATGAAATGGGTTGTATGGATTTTAATTTCTCTCTGTCAATCTCTCCACCACTAAATTTTAGTAAGGTAGAGGGTCCAATTCTTAAATTGACACGAGTCAAGAGAGAAAACTGGTTCAGACTCACATTTGTTTGAGATAAGCCTGCATTAACCGATTGATGAGCATAAGCTGACAATAACAAAATATCCGCTTTCTCTCAAGTTCTATTCGATTCAACGTAGAGAGGAAATAGAATTAATGGATTTTTCAAGCATAACATGATGAGGGGGAAAGCAGAGGACAAAAGTTTCAAACTGAAAAATTCTTAGAAATAAGGAAATGCGTTAAGAGAATGGCGAAGAAAGGAAACTTCGAAAAAAAAAAATACGATGCTAAACAAGCATGGATTTATATAAAAGTTAAGGTGTGTTTATCAATCTTAAATATTCTGTCAGGTATGTCTAGCATTGTAAAATATATATTTTCTTGTGTCTAGTACTATGAAGTATATTTTTCAAATGCATCTAGTATCTAAAAATATTTTGAAATGTAATTTTACTCTTAAAATATTAATGTTTTCAAAAGTAATTGTAGTTTTAAAATACTATTTCATGAGTAATTTTAATTTTGTTTTTAAATCCTCAAAAAATCCGTTAAATAAATGTATATTAAGTATCATAAAGTATTTTTTATTATTTTGTTAGGGCGTTAAACACACTTGGAAAAATATTCTAAGATATTAAACACACTTGTCAAAATATTTTAGAGGTGCTAAATGCTTATTGACCTTTTATAAAATTACTACGAACGGTCAAAGTTTCCCCCAAAAAGCGCCGTCCGTATGGATCCTTGCAAGCCCCCGAATCCGGATTAGTCTGGGGACGTTGTCACGGCTGAAAGACGCCTATTTCCCTGGGATACCGGATGGAGTAATCCAAAAAAAAAAAAAAAATTTCCCCCAAAAAAAAGTAAATGGACATAAAATACACTAATATATATATATGGACATAAAATACACTAATATATATATATAAGTTCAGTTGCCAATTTTGAAAGTTTATATTTAAAAATGAAAAAAAAATCACAAATCAATTGTGAAGCCATTTCACCACTTGAGAAATCAACCAATTGATATTTCAATTTGCACACTGAAAATTACAAGATTTTCAGCCAGCTTTTCCAAAGTTTACACTAAGTGCTAACCGCATAAGGGCATTTTCAACTATTTTCTTTTTTTCAAAAAGAATTTAACTTTAGTCTTCCTCATAATTTCATAAACTTGTGATCCTTCAGTCTCATTTTTTTTTCCCGCCCCAAGTTCATTTATGTTCTCAACTCTGAATGACATTAATTTTAACCAATTTTAATGTATCCTTTCATACTTGATGCATTACACAAGATCTAAAAAAAACATATTAAGATTAAAAATGTTCAAAATTTCTTATGCAGTAGTCTATAATCAACTATACATATGGGGAGTGAGTTGTTTTTTTTTTAAAAAAAAAATAAAAAGCAAATATAGTAATCATTAAAAAAAGTACAAATAAACCTCTTATTTTAAGCAATGAGGGACGGTGAGAAGAATGAAACTTTTAAATATGTCTTCAAATTATTGAATTTTTTTAATGAGAACTGTAAGGTTGAATGGTCAGACTTCTGAACACTTCTTAAATAAAAAATTAAATTTAAAGTATTTAAATGAGGAAAAGTAGGTGACATTAAAAGAGTCTCCTCTTCACATGAGGCAACAAAATTTTTTGAATCTTTTTACAGTAGTTTGTCTTGGTCTTTTGGTCTAAATATTGATTTGTTATAGGATCTAGGTAATTAATTTACATAAATTAAAAAAAATTAATTTAGTCAAATACTTGTAAATATATGTGTTAGTTTTAAAAATATTTTTATATGAAAAGTACTTTTATTAATTTTATTTATTACCATATGTGATTAATAGATAGTTTAACCAAAAAAAAAATAACAAAAATACATACGAGACATAAAATGAATTAGATATCAAATATATATGTGTGTGTATTTGTGTTTTTGTATATATAGGTGCTCCAGGGAGTGGAAAGAGCACCCAGTGTTTAAAAATAGCTTCAGAATTTGGATTTGCCCATCTTAGTGCTGGGGATCTTCTTTAAAACAGAAACTAACTCCAAAACTCAACGCGGGTAAGTAAATGTATAAAATTATATGCATGTAAATTCCATGCATTGGATAAAATTGGATCAATAGATTACATATTTAGGGCATGTTTGTTTTCTGTTTTTTGGTTTTTTGTTCTCAGAAAAATTTTATAAAATAGTTTTTTAGAAAGGTTTTGAAAACAAAAAACAAAAAAAAAATCTGTTTGAATAATTGTTCTAAAAAATTATATTTAAAAATAAATATATAGAGATTGGAGGGTGAAATTTCGATAAGAACTCAAGTCCTCAAATAAAAAAAGTCATGGAGTAGAGAAGAAAGGGTTTTTCAATTTTCCCAAACAAAAAATAAGAAATACAAAAACAAAAACAAGAAAACAACTAGAAATCATTTTGGTCTCTTGGTTTTTTTAAAAAGACAGATTTATATTTTTTGTTTTTTTTAAAAAGTCGCTCAACTAAAAACAAATTATCAAACAAGTTTTAAAAAAAAAATGTTTTCAAAATAAGAAAACAAACAAACCATTAATTACTATGAATTTTATATTGGAAAAATAGCAAATAAACACCCCCAATATGTGAAATTACAATTTAGGACTCTCAATTTGAAAAATAGTAAATAAAAACCCAGTCTCATATTACAAATATAAAATCTTTGTGAAATGTCTGAAATACCCTTTAGCAAAATAACAAGTTGACTATAGGAAATGACTAATTCACTTTAGTGAATAACAATTTCAGTGGATCAAATCACAACTTGACTGAGAGTATGTCAAATGACAAGTTGACTATAGGAAATGACAAGTTTACTTTAGCGAATGACAACTTCAGTAGACCAAATCACAACTTGGCTGAGGGGCATTTCAAACATTTCACCAAGATTTCATATTTACAATATAGGATCGGGTCTTTATTTGTTATTTTTCAAATTGAGGTCCCAAATCGTAATTTCACATATTAGGTGGTCTTTATTTGTCATTTTTCCTTTTATATTCTTATATTGATATATTAAATATATTGTCTTATTAAGTTTAATATATTTTTCATCTCTCTAGTCATTTATATTAAGTTTCATGCGTTAATAATATTTTTGTTGAGATCAATGATGGAGGAGTACAAGAAACGAGGGAAGCTTGTTCCGAGTGAGATGGCATTAAGGTTACGTTTGGTAGGAAGCATTGAAAATGAGGGGATTGAGATTGAGATTACAAGTGAGAAAATCTATCAAGAGAGTGTTTAGTATAAAAGATTATTTGATATATGGGATTAGCTAAAGCCATGTATGTGGGATTGGAGAATACCATAGGGGGAAGTGGTATTCCCCAGTCCCACCTTTATGGGTTTGTCTAATCCCATATAACAAATAATTACTCATACTAAGTATTATTTTAATAATTTTTTTCAATTACAATTCTAATCCCAATCCTTTATTTTTAATGCTTCGTACCAAACGGGACCTAAGAGTTTTGGGCGAAGCAATGAAGAGGAGTGAACCAACAAATTTGTTATTGATGGATTCCCAAGAAACCAAGAAAATGTTGAAGCAGCTGAGAATTTTGTGAGTCTCAAATGCTTCAAAATAATTATCCTCAATTAATTAATTAATTTTTAATTTTTTGTTTATCTATAGTGCTTGTGTGAGTGAATGATCAATGATTGACTTTGAAAAGAAAATAATTATCCTAATTAATTAAATCATGTTTAACCGATAAAAATAGAGCCAAACTTGGTTCTATATTTTGCTTGCAATGAAGAAGAGTCCATTAGGCGCCTTTCAAACAGAAATCAGGTTAGTTAATCACTCTTTCGGCTTTATTCAATCATTAATATTACAGATTGCTCAATTCAAATTTGATTATTGTCATATTCAGATATTCAATAAAATAGGCACTTTCGACATATTTCTCTTCATTATTAATAAATTTCGAATCTCAACATATTTTTCCTTATTATTAATAAATTTTGAATATGTGGCCATGTCTAATCAAAAGACATCAAATTCCTTTCATTCAACTTAGACATTACTGGTAAGGTTAAGGAGCAATGGTCATGTTTGATTAAAAAAAAAAAAAAAAAGAGGAGCAATAGCCATGAAATTTTTTCTCATAAGCGTTTGGCGTCTTAAGCTTTTTTTTTTTTTGTTGCCCATCCAATTTACCGGAGCTTTGCTCCGACTACATCTGGATCCGACCCGCGTTGCGTATCTAGCTGTGATAAGTGAGTCTCCCAACGGAGATTTGTATATACGCTGAAGCTCGAACTCGAGACCTCGCTTAAACAGTACCAAACCGCTGCATCGTAAGCTTTTTAAAAAAACAAAAATACACACAAAGCTTCAAGAGATAGAAAAAGTTTCCCAAACTGTAAAAGGGCCTAACATCCTTACATGGGGTCCACAATTTCGTGGGCATTTTTGCCCCTTTTGAAAACTTTAGGATGCCTTGTCTATTAAAGAAAATTTCATGGGCGATTTTGCCATAGTCGTTGGATAAAGATAGAATTACTGCAAGGTTTCAATAAAGAAATCTAATTACTGAAAAATCTCAATAATAAGTGAGTGATATAAAACTGTTATTATTTATTGTATTATACCTTGTCATTACACTTTTAGATGATTAAATCCCTTCGATACTACCTTATAATATGAACCCTGCCTTTGGCGTATTTAATGCTTGGGGGGATTTTACCTTTTTTTTTTTTTTTCAAATTCCTTGTGTATTTTTGTTACACTAAAAACTTAGGATAGCAGACCCATCACCCATGGCCCATGGTAGGTATTTCTACTCTTTAACCCTTGTTGGCAAGATAAATA